GCCTGTCTCCATACGGGAGCTGCTCCAGCCCCTGCTCATCCTCGTGGCCTCCTCTGGCCTTGCTCCATCAGCTCCACGTCAACATATGAAATACATGGAGCTGTTGGATTTTCCACCTGTGGTTTCACCATTGCCTGATGGACCTGCTGCCGGATCCACCCTAGATCCCTGTCCCACCAACCAAAGGACATCAACCCTCTTCTCCTCCATCCCAGGAGCGGGTTGCCAAACTTCTGTGCGGTGGCACTGGCGCTGCAGCAGTTGGGGTATCGCGCCATCGGCGTGCGCCTGGACAGCGGGGACCTGGCCCAGCAGTCCAAGGAGATCCGCCGGGTGCTGCGAGCCTGTGGTGCTCAGTGAGTCCTACACCAGCCCTGGGCTGGCTGCCAGTGGCCCTGGCTTCACCCCCAGCTCCGGGGGGTGATGGGAGTTACGGGTCCTCCCAAACCCTTCACCCCATCCCTTGCTTCTCAACAGCTTCCAGGTGCCCTGGTTTGAGACCATCCCCATCGCTGTCAGCAACGACATCAGTGAGCAGAGCCTGGAGGAGTTCACTAGGGAGGTGAGATGGTTCCTGACAGGGGCTGAGATGGCACCTTGGCCTTTGCTGAGGTTTGGGGTGGAACTAAGAGTCACAGGGGACTTTTTCCCTGGGTGAGAACAGAGAAGAGTCTCCAGAGTAGGACAAATAAGGCTTTTGGGTGGGATGGATGGACAGACACCTCTGAGCAGAGCATCTCTGACCTGCCCCAGGGCTCTGATTGTGATGGGCTGTTGATGGTTTCTGTCTCCTCTTTGCACCAGGGGAGTGAGATTGACATGATCGGCATTGGGACCAACCTGGTGACGTGTCCCCTGCAGCCATCCCTGGGCTGTGTCTACAAGGTACTTGTGGCAGCAGCTCTTGGTCCTGCTTGACTTGGGGAGCTCCTGGTATCTCCTGGGCTTTAAAAGGCTGGGGATGAGCAAAGGGGGATCCAGCCCTAAGGGATGTTGCTGGTGTCAAGTCATAGAGTAGTTTGTGTTGGAAAGGACCTTAAAGCTCCTCCAGCTCCAACCCCTGCCCCGGGCAGGGACACCTTCCACTGGAGGAGGTTGCTCCAAGCCCCTGTGTCCAACCTGGCCTTGAACACTGCCAGGGATGGGGCAGCCACAGCTTCTCTGGGCACCCTGTGCCAGCGCCTCAGCACCCTCACAGGGAAGAGCTTCTGCCCAAGAGCTCGGCCCAATATCTCATCTCAGTCTCCCTTGGGGCAGGTTCAAGCCATTCCCCTTGGCCTGTCCCTCCATCCCTTGTCCAAAGCCCCTCTCCAGGTTTCCTGAAACCCCTTCAGGCACTGGAGCTGCTCTGAAGTCTCCCCTTCATGGACATAACATTCATGAGAGCACTGCAGTGAGAAGCTTGCAGGCAGCAGATGTCCAACGTTAGGGTGGTTTGAGGGGTTCTCATCATTCCTACAGCTGGTTGCCCCAGTGGCCTCCCCAGCTTGTGGGGACACTCATAGAGGACACAGAGCTCTGCAGGTCTTCAGCACCAGCATGAGCTGGTGCATGTGACAAAATAAGGTGTCCATCCCTTAACCTCCTTCTCCTGCAGCTGGTGGAGGTCAATGGCTCCCCATGCCTGAAGCTCACAGAAGATGAGGAGAAGATGACAATCCCAGGGACTAAGACGATCTATCGGCTCTATGATGCTGCTGGTGAGCTGGGAGACCCTTGTCACTGTCCTGCCACATTGACCTGTGTCCCCCCTTCTGCTCCGTAACCCTGTCCCCGATGTCCTGTGCAGCCCCTGGTCTCTAACATGGTCTCCCTGCAGGTCACCCCTTCATGGACCTCATGGCACTGGAGGAGGAGCCCTCACCCAGTGCAGGGCAGGAGCTGGTGGTCCATGTCCTGGGGCAGCTTGGTGAGCCCAGCAAGGTGTTGCCCACCACCGTGGAGCCCCTTCATCGCATCTACTTCAGAGATGGCCAGGTCAGGGGTGGCTCTACTGGTCCTTCATGTTGGGTGAAGGACCAAGCCAGGGTGGTGGTGTCTTGGCCACCATGGATCAAACTGTTAAATCCCTGTGTTACCTTGTGTCTGAGATAGTCCCTGCTCCATCCAAGGTGCCACCATGGACATGGTGCCATCAGAGTCCAGCCTGGAGCTGGCTGGTTGGGGCTTGGTGACATTCTCCCCCCGTGGTCATGGTCCTGCATCTCCATCCCTGCAGGTGTGTGAGCCTCTGCCCAGCCTGCCCGAGGTGAGGACCCACGCGCAGGTGTCCCTCAGCCTCCTCAACCCCGCTCACCGCCGGCTCCACCACCCACAGCCCTACCCGGTACATCCACTGTGGCACTATCAGTCCACACCCAGGGACCCTGCCCAGCACTGGTGGCTTGAGTGTGGCTCCACCAGAGCATGGACATGGGGCTGCAGGTCCCCAAGGGGTTCATTGTCCACTCTTGCTCCCGTGTAGGTGGCAGTGACAGAGAAGCTCCACCAGCTCCTCACCACGCTGCAGCAGGCCAGCCAGTGAGGAGGGCCCTGCTCATCCCCTGCTTGGGACCAGCTCTTCTTCACGCTCTTTTGAAGACCAAGTGACGACATTGGGAATCAATGGCCCTAACAGCACCGTGGTGCTCAGCTGAAGACCCTGCACAAACTGGAAGAGTACCCAGAGATCCCAAAGCTGGGAACAGAGGGATGGGGCAGGTGGAGCTGGGAGGTCCTTCTGGAAGGGATGGTCCTTCCCTGCCCATCTTGGTGGTCCTGCATCTTCTGCCATGATGGTGCTGCCCACCTCAATGCTTTTGCCAAACCCTGTGCCTTCTGCTGTGGCAGCACTGCCCACCTTGGTGGCCCTGTCCTGTCCCTTCAGTGGTGGCAGCTCACACTGAAGCTCCTCAGTGGCACAAGAAACCAAGTCTTGAGTGTACAAGAAGGGCTCCTACCATGGAAATGTCCTCTGGGACATCCCTGGCAGATGCACTTTGCCCCTTCTCTTTAGGCTTTGGCTCTGTGGCCACATTCCAGCTCTTCCCATTTTATATGGAGCTGGAGGCCAACAACTGGTTGATGCCAACTCCATGTTGGCACCTGCACTCTGGAACCTGATGTTCCTTAGTCCTTGGAATTAGCTTAATTCTATGCAAGAGATGAAATAAAAGCCTTTACCCACCTACACCCACCCCATGGGACTGCTCTGGTCCTTCAAAACTCTTGTGGCCTTCAAATGTAACATCCTTGACTTCACTGCATGTAACTGATGAAGGTGGCATGAAAAGCAAGTGTAGACCCATGAGAGCAGTTGGGGGTGACCCGCAGGTGCCACGTGGCATCTCATGGCCCTGATTCCAACGGAAATCCCACCGTAGCTCCACTGGGGTAGGGTCATGCCCCGGCAGTGACTGGTTGAAGGCTTTAGCAAAACAGGAGCAAGAAAAGCTGGGGATGGAATGGGAAGGAAACCTGCAGAGACTCAACCAAGACATGAAGAGCTGCTCTGATCCTGCCCTGCTGAGGCGCTGGCACAGGGTGCCCAGAGGAGCTGTGGCTGCCCCATCCCTGGCAGTGTTCAAGGCCAGGTTGGACATAGGGGCTTGGAGCAACCTTCTCTAGTGGAAGGTGTCCCTGCCCAGGGCAGGGGTTGGAGCTGGAGGAGCTTTAAGGTCCCTTCCAACCCAACCCATTCCCTGTTTCCATGTTGTACCTGCAACAGGCAGATAGTCAATCCTTTCCCCTGAGCTTGTAAAATGTTCAGACCCAAAAGTGTCACGTTCAGACCCAAAATTGTCACGTACCCATGGAAAAGGTGCAGTGAGGACAAGAGGGAAATGCCCAACCCCCGCCCTGCATCACCCACCCCCCCAGGAGCAGTTGTGGTTTAGAGCTTTGCAGCACTCAGTGAGGGGGAAGAGGAAGAACTTAAGAGAGTTCAACAAAGCCTTGGGCGATGGTCTCTTGTTTCCAGACAAGGCTGGAGGCTGCTGGTGCAGTGCTCCAGCCCTGGCACTGGACCACACTGAGCACGTTAAGAGAGAAAACACAGAACTCCAGGAAAACCAGGAATAGTTTGCTATTAAAAGTTGCATTTTTAGAGCAGAATCCCCAGGGACTGAGAAGTGCAACCCCAGCGTACCTGAGTCCAGACAATCCTGAGGCCTACGGAGAGAAGCAACTTGGAGCAGATGAAGGCAGTGGGCTTCAGCATGCTCAGCCCTCTGCATGGCCACAGGGGAGCAGCTCATCAGTGCAGGAGAAGGCTAAACCCATCCCTGGGATGATCTGCTGCTCTCTCCTTGTCAGGCCCTTCACCACTGGTGCTTTGGCTTTGCCCAGACCCATTTTGAGTAGCTCCAAGGATGGAGAATCCACGACCTCCTTGGAAACCTGTACCAGAGTCTGTCATCCTCATGGTGAAGAAGCCTTTCCTGATGTTCTGAGCGATCCTCTTGTGTTCCTGTTTGGGCCCAGGGCATGTTGTCTTGTCACGGGGCACCACAGAGAAGACCCTGGCTGTCTTCTTTGCACCCCCCCCTTCAGACATTGATGAGTTTGACCCGAGTCTTCTCTTCTCCAGTCTGAACAGTCCCAACTCTCTCAGTGTTTCCTCATGGGAGAAATGCTCCGGTTCAGCTTCATGGTCCTTCACTGGACTCTCTCCATCTTTCTTATCCTGGGGAGCTCCAAATGGGATCCAATACTCCAGCTGTGGCCTCACCAGTGCTGAGCAGAGGGGAAGGATCCTTTCCTTGACCTGCTGCCACCGCTTTTGCAGCCCAGGACATTGTCCACCTTCTGTGTCCTCATGGTCAACTTGGTGCTGAGGCTCAAATGCTCGAGACAGTTGGAAGCTGACTTCACATTAACTGTGGTAACAACCTGGGTTCATTCCACACCAGCCACCACACAGAGAAATAAGACACCCCAGACAACAGCTACAACCATCAGGCTGTGAGGTCCCCTTTAGCATCACAACCTCTGCTGTCAGCCAAAAAAGAACCTAAAGCTGCAACCTGCATTAAAGAGGGAAGAAAAAGAGCAGGAGGGGGACTGCAGCTGCACATCCGGAGCTCCTGGATGCATCCACTGAGGATGTGGGGTCCTGCAAGTGCAATTTGGGCACCCCAGTTCATCACTGACTCCTATAACAGCTTCCTCCTGCCACGACAGCATGAGCTTAATGGCAGAAAACCGCCAGTTTGCACATTTATTTAGTTGAAGGAATGACAATTCCCACCCAGAGACCTTTCTACAGTCACAGCAAATCCAAGAGTGCTCTTTTTCACCCTTGGAATTCTGTTAGTGGTCTTTAGATCTCAGGAGTGGGTGCAGAGATGGGACAGAAAGTGCTTGAAGTGAGATTAAAACACCCCATCATGCAGCAATAGTGCAGCCTTTGCAAGAAAGAGGAAGCAAAACACGTTGTCCCTCTGCTCCATCTTTCTTCCAGTTTTGTTCTGGAGAGACACATGGATTTTAAAGCCTCAAGACATCCAGTGACCTCATGGTTGATAATAGGGATGGTGGGTACAAGTGCTGGGTAAGGGAAGTGCAGTCACCTCAGGGACCCACCTTTAGGTGTGGGGCCCATCCCAGACCCCAAGAAACCCTCATCCTGACCCATCTCTTCACCACAGTGGTGCAGCTCACACCTCCTGCATTGCTCACTGCACAAGTCCATGTGAGGATGGTTCATGCAGGGTAACGCTCTGGTTTTCTTGTGCTCTTTGCAAACCTGAGGAGAACTGTTCATGTCTTGATTAAATACTGGTCCTCAGCTTGATAACTGCTCATGTTTCCTTAAATGCTGGTCCTATCTCATCACTGGAAGGGAAAAAAGGATGTTGGGGAGGATTCTGAGGTAGGGCAGAGCTGCAGAGTGGGGAGGAAAGAAGGTGGAAAGAGAAGGGAGGAAATAAGAATGGATCTGAGTGTAAGGAATTCAGAGTCCAGGTCTGCAGAAGTACAGCTCTCACTTGATGGGATTTAACTAACCCAGGCTGCTGTGGACAGCTTCATACCAGACACTGGAAGAGGCAAGAAGAGGCTGAAGTGCAAGTTTGGTGTACCCAGACTTGGCTGCTCTCACTGATGCCAAGCTCCAGGGTTGATCCATGTTCATGTTCCCACCACCTCTGCTCTGCAGCACCAGGGTCACTTGTAAAGTGCCATCTTCTTGCTCTGGTACATGTACATGTAGGCATCACAGAAGAGGCGCTTGGCCACTCCCTCCATGTCCCGAGGCTGCTCCAGGGCCAGCCCAGCCAGTGGCAAGTCCAAGTACTTGGCAACTTCAGGGCACAGGGTTACTGTGGGAATGTTGAAGCCGTTTTCACCACCTAAGAGAGAAAGAAGAAAAGTCCAAACTGGGCCTTAAGGGACCTACAGCTCAAGCAGACACCATCTGGCTCTAAACTGAAGGAGGGGAAGTTCAGGTTGGAGATAAGGCAGAAGCTCTTCCCTGTGAGGGTGCTGAGGCGCTGGCACAGGGTGCCCAGAGAAGTGGTGAATGCCCACTCCCTGGTAGTGTTCAAGGCCAGGTTGGACAGAGCCTTGGGTGACACGGTCTAGTGTGAAGTGTCCCTGCCCATGGCAGGGGGTTGGAACTGGGTGGTCTCAAGGTCCTTTCCAACCCAAACCCTTCTGTGATTCTATGATCACACTGAACACTCAATGTGGTGCCTCAACCCGAGAGCTCTGGAGGCAGGTGGGGAAGTGTCCTCACCATGTCTGTCGGCCATGCTGTCGAAGAACATCCAGTGGTCATTCTCAGGGCCATACTTCACAAAGGAGACATAGTGACTGGTCTCGATGCAGAGCACTGCAAAGAGCTCCATCTTCTCATGAGGGACCTGCTGGCAGCCCTGGGGGCTCCGCGTGTGGAATTCCTCTGGGATGTGCAGCTCTCTTGGCTTGTGTGTTTTGCGGCGGTAGTGAGAGTGAACCTGAGGAGACAGGATTTGGGGGTTGGAACCGGATGATCTTAAGGTCCTTCCCAATTCAAACCATTCTGTGATGGGGTGGCACTGCTGAGAGGGCAGAATTGAACCTGGCCTGCCACAATGAGGAGGGTGTGGGGGTCAGATCCTCAGTTTATTCCCCACTGATCTGACTCCCATGGTCCCTGCATGGGAGGGAATGGAACTGCATCATCAGGCTTCATAAAATCATGGAATGGTCTGGGTTGGAGGGGAGCTTAAAGCTCCTCCAGCTCCAACCCCTGCCACGGGCAGGGACACCTTCCACTAGAGCAGGTTGCTCCAAGCCCCTGTGTCCAACCTGGCCTTGAACACTGCCAGGGATGGGGCAGCCACAGCTTCTCTGGGCACCCTGTGCCAGCGCCTCAGCACCCTCACAGGGAAGAGCTTCTGCCCCAGAGCTCATCTCAATCTCCCCTCTGGCAGGTTAAAGCCATTCCCCTTGTCCTGTCCCTGCATCCCTTGTCCAAAGCCCCTCTCCAGGTTTCCTGGAGCTGGTAGCTGCTCTAAGGTGTCCCCTTCAGGAGCCTTCTCTTCTCCAGCTGCCCCAGCCCAGCTCTCTCAGCCTGGTTCCAGAGCAGAGCTGCTCCAGCCCTCGCCCATTTCCATGTGTTGTTGCCCCAGAGCTGCACACAATACCCCAGGCTTGGCAGCAAGAAGCTGAGATGGGAACGTGCCACCCTCCAAGAAAGGCCAGAAAGCTGTAGGAATGCTCCTGCTGGGACAACATTGAGGGCCCAGTGCTCTGTTTGTTCTTATTTGGGCTCTCTGTAAGCAGAGGGTTTAGTATCATGTGGCACCAAACCCTGCTCATACTGATGTGGTGGTGGGACTGATGCTTAGGAAGAGGTCCTGAACATTCCTCCTGAAAGGCTGCAGGGACAACATGGGAAACAAGGGCCTTCTGGGGGTTCAGTCTGCTGCCAGCACCAAAGCAGGTTTGATGAGCAGACAAAGGAGATGAATACCCGTCTGGAGCAGGAGCTGCAGAACTGCTTCAGGCCCGTAGCTGCGAACACCTTGTCCTTGAAACACTCGGAACACTCCAGGGCGGCAACATCACCACACAGGCAGCACTCCCTGGGACCTGCAGGGGCAACAGGGGTGAGAAGATGGGTCTTTTCCAGCTCTCACCTGAAATCCAGCTTGTCCTGCCAAAACTGGTGTTTGGAGCAGAAGAATCACACCATGATCCCACCCCACATCTGCTCCAGCCCAAAGAGGTGAGACCTGTCACCTGGTTCCTCACAGGCCCAAGCAGCAGCTTCACCACAGCCCAATAACTTACTGTCAAGCAGCAGATCTGTTATATCCAGCTCCAAGGAAGGAATGATTTTGCTGAACATTTTATACTCCTTCCCAAAACGTGGCATTTGGATTATGAAGCAAGATGGGATCTGGGGAAAGAAAGACAAACAAGTCACCCTGTGAGAAGAGACAAGCTCCAAAGACTCTTCTCTCCACTTTGCTACGGGGGGTAAAGGCTTCTTGCTCTGGCTCGTCCCAAGATGAAATTGCAACAGGGAAAGTACAGCCCTCTTCCCAGGTCATGCTGAGATTCCCAAGGTTCTTGTGACTGTATCCTGCTTCTGTGTAGCACTGGATATCAGACTCCAGGATACCAGGCACAAGTATGTTGGAGGAAGCAAGAAAGAGGCAGCAGAGAGCAGTGTAGGCAGAAGGCTCTGGGCTCACCTCCACTAGCTTCAGATCAGAGGACAGGAAGGAGCGTTCCACTAACTGCTGCACGTCAGGAACCACCAGATCCTCCTGTTTGTCCATAAATATCTGGTAACAGTAACAGTCCTGCTCCTTCTGGCCTCCTGACCTGCAAGGAGTGGGCATGGGGCTTGTTTATGTGGTGCCGCAAACATGGGAGCTCCCAAACATGGGGGGTTTGTCCTGCAAGAGCTTCCGGGCCCAAGGCACCAAAGGGCTGCTCAGTGCAACACTGACATGAAGCTGGTTTTCCACCCAGCAATATTGATTCCTCAGCCTGGAGAAGCTGCTGGAGACCTCAGAGCAGCTCCCAGGGTCTGACGGGGCCTCCAAGGATGCTGGAGGCGGACCTTCATCAGGGACTGGAGTGACAGGACAAGGGGTGATGGGTTCAAACTGAAACAGGGGAAGTTCAGGTTAGATCTAAGGAAGAAGCTGTTCCCTGTGAGGGTGCTGAGGTGCTGGCACAGGGCGCCCAGAGAAGCTGTGGCTGCCCCATCCCTGGCAGTGCTCAAGGCCAGGTTGGACACAGGGGCTTGGAGCAACCTGCTCTAGTGGAAGGTTTCCCTGCCCGGGGCAGGGGTTTGGAGCTGGATGAACTTAAGGTCCCTCCAACCCAAACCATTCCATGAGAAATAATTGCCATGAGAAGAGGATACAAACATCATCTTTCTTCAGCCTCATTACCCCTCTGTAGCATCACATCCTGCTCCTACAAGCAAAACTCAATTTCCCCTCCTTGATGGAAACACTAAAAGAGGCTTCAACATGCTTTAAACCAAGTGCACTACAGCAGAATCAAACTCCTCCTCAGATGAAGGCTCTATTTATACCTTCACACACCAACCTCGGTGCATTCAGAAGGTGTGGGAGATGTTCTGCACATAACTCACCCCCTGCAGCCCTGAGCCAGCACAGAAAGGATTTCCTTCAGCTGAGCCTGTGCAGAGGAGCTGCAGCACAGAGACATCTTTGTGCTCAGCCTTTCCAAGCACTCCATGATCTGCAGCTTGACTGACACCTCAACAAAGCAGCACAGAAAGCAAACAATCCCCCTCTGTGCTCCTCAACAGCACAGTTATTTTTGGCTTCCTTCAGCCTCTCATCCTCTTTGTAGAGCCCTGAAATCTGGGAGTGCATCCATGGAGTGCCTGTTTGAGAGGCTGCAGGATCTGAGCCAGCTTGGCAGGTCTGGACACATCCCAGATGCATCCAAAGGCTGTCAGATGCTTCTTGCTCTGCACTGAAGTTGGACACTGTGTTTCCCAAAGCACTGCTGGCTCCCCCTGAGGGGACACAAGGGGTTTAGGCCAGTTCTCTGAAGGTGGCACCTCCAGAAGTGTCTTTACCTGGATGTGTCACCTGGAACAAGATCACAGGGGGGAACTGTGCTTCCAAAGCCACAATGAAAGGGTGTAAGGAACACCCAGTGACTGTGAGGTGGTAACTAAAGAGCCTGGGTAAGATAAATCACTTGGACATCAAAACTTACTGCAGCTTCAAGAGTGGTTCTATCCCCAGGATCTGGTGCATGATGAGATTGAGGAACTCCTCAGGATCTGGAAGGTGAGAGAAAAGCATGGGTCAAACCACACCAGGAATACTCTGACCCCAGGGCATCCAGAAGGCAAAAGCTGCCAGATCAACATGAACCAGCATTTCCTGAACGTGGAATGTCCTGGTTTACTCTAGGTAAGGGCAAAATGGGGCGAAAAGTTGGGTGAGCCTGAAGAAACCAAAGCAGCCTTCACATACTGCTCTCTGAGAAGCCTGAGACCAGCAACACCAGCTCAGAGACTTTAGTGGACTGTTCCTAACACCAAAAGTATAAACTCAAAGTGAAATCTGGGACAACTCTGGAAATTGAAGCAACTCAACAGCAGTTAAACCATCCCTGGCTAAAGTCAAGACCTAATAGTACAAACCACGAGTGTTGCTCACTGACAAGATAACCTGGCTCTGGAGGAATCAATGCCACTTGTTTACTATCTAGATACTCAGAGGTTGTTGAAGTGATGTTTAGCATTAGTGTGATCCATTTCCTTGTTGTAAACTACACAGGGCCTTGCTAAGGGAATGTGGGGATTGCAACCAGAGGTTGATGGGCTTCAGCTGGAGGATGTTCCTGCTCATTGCAGGGGGTTGGAGCTGGATGATCTTTGAAAGTCCCTTCCAACCCATGATTCCCATCTTTCCATCAGACTTCAGCATAAATTTTCAGCTGAGAAGAGTTTTAAAAGCTGAAACTACATGAGATGTGCATCTGTCTGTAAGTGAACACGTAATGCATGCAGCAGGCATGTCAGTGCACGTGCCTGGAAGCAGCACACAGTGAAGGTGTCAGCCCGGTGCCTGGATGAGGCAGAACACAGGGAATCAGGCCAGGGAAGGCCCCAGAGAGGATCTCACCTTTCTCAGCGTTGGTAAAGCTTGAACACTGGCCCTTGTCAGTCAGCTGCTCCCTGAGGTGCATCACACTCCTGGCCTTGACAAAACCAGTCCTAGAAACAAGAAGGAGCTGTAGATGATCTCTCCAGGGTATTGAAATCATGGAATGGGTTGGGTTGGAAGGGACCTTAAAGCTCATCCCGTTCCAACCCCTGCCATGGGCAGGGACACCTTCCACTAGAGCAGGTTGCTCCAAGCCCCTGTGTCCAACCTGGCCTTGAACACTGCCAGGGATGGGGCAGCCCGAGCTTCTCTGGGCACCCTCTGC